AATTAATATTTATATTTTTAAATATAAAATTAGATTAATTCAAGTTTGATTTAAATTTTCTAAAAGAAATTTAAATAAAAATTAATTTAAATATTAAATATTATTACTAATATATTTTAATATTTAATATAATTTGATTACTAATTCTAATTAATTAAAATTTATAATTTAATATATTTTTGAATTTTCTCTAAAGAATTATTCTAATTTTAAAGCTTTTATAAAAAATTTTTTAATTAAAAATAAATTTAATTAGAAAACTTTTTAATAATTTTACAATTAGTTATTTATAAAATTTTTTTAATATTAATATAAAAAATATTTATTAATAAAATAATAAACTTTAAAATAGAGTAAAATTTTAATTTTTATATTTTATTAATAAAATTAATTTTTAATACTTTATTTTTAATAGTTATTATAAATATTTATAATATTTTATTTTGTATTATAATTATAAATTTATTTATTTAATTCTAATAATTTATTTATTTTATCTTTTTAAATTAGTCTAATTTATATTATATTAATAATTATTTTCAAGATTATTCTATTTTTACTTGATATAATAAGAAAATTTTCTTATAAATTTTTATTTTTATTATTTTATTTTATATTTATTATTTTTCTTTTCAAATAATTTATATATTTAATGATATCAAGTATAAATTATGAAAAATATAAACTAAATTTTTTAAATCATTTATAATTATTAAGAAATTTTATATATAATATTAATATAATATATTAATTTAATAAAAAGAGTTTATAATAAAAATATTAGCTTTACTAATAAATATTTATTTTTAGACAATAAATTTATGTTATATAATTATATAAAGAAAACTTTAAAATATTTAATTATTATTTTATAATAGAAAATAGCTTTCTATCAATAATATTATATAAATTATATATATATAAAATAAGTAATAATCTTTATTTATTAAGTTAAAAAAATTTAATAAATAATATATTTTTTATTTTGAATTCAGAATTATGTTTTTCATTTATTTTTAAAAATATAGAAAAATTTTACTAACTTTATATAATAAACTAATATTACAAGTATTAGAAAGATTTCTTTGTATTATAATATTTTATTTAGCATTAATTAATAAAATTTGTTATGCTTTATAGAGATTAATCTCATTTTAATATATAAAAACACGATATAACAATCATTATTCAATTTGATAATAATAAAATGAAAATATTATAATAAATGAAATAATATTTATATTATTATTATTATTTTTGTAAAATATTATAACTAAAATTCTGACCTATAGATAATGATGAGCCAAACTTGGTCCAGAACATATATATAGAGTCAAAAACTTCTCTTACGACTTAAAAAGTTTATGATATTGACTTAATGAAAATATGAACTAGTTAAGACGTTATTCAATTTTTTTCAGGATTTCTCAATTTCAATGTTCACAAAAATCAGCTTAAATTGTACAAAATATAAGGTAGAGCGATTTTTAGTAAAATTAACATAATTCCCAAATAATGGAATAATACCAAGAAAATTTTCTATAAAAAACTAAAAAGCTCCTTAAGATTAACAAGATATCAAATTTTATTTTGTCTTAATGTGGAAAGTGCGCATGCCGAAAATGAGCATATTCTCACTTTTTAAATTGAACCTTGAGAATTATTACTGAAAGAAAAACCATTTTTAAAGCAGATTATATATGAGTGCGACAACAATTTAAAATTTTTGCCGAAATTCGCATATCTTTACATTTACCAGCAAAAGTAAATCTCCAAACTTATATTTTTGTTTGAAGCAATGTCGTGTCGTTGACGTCGTGTGAACTTGGTCATTTCGAAATTCAAAATGTCGTAGCTGCGTCGAGCTCGAGTTTCAATTTTTGTAGTACATGTACTTGAAAATAAAAACTAATTGTGCCAGGAAGTAAAAGCTTTTATCGCTATGATAATTCGGTCTGAACTCCTTTACTTGCGAACAGCAACAAATAATCATAAGACGAGCCCGAATTGAAAGAGTTGTTTAACATTACCTACGCACTGTCATTGTAGAGGTAATTCGTTGCCTATATTATGCGACCTTTCTAGCCTCGGTCAAGTAATCTTACGATTAATTGCCAACACTAGTAGTTCTAGCAACGCCAAGCTAAAATAATGTTGATATCGCTTAAGTTCACGTCTTAATGAAGTAACAAATCGCAACCTAACTACATATGTAAAAAACGGTCTATATACGGATTTACTAATAAAAGCACTATAGAACTGCCCAAAAGTTCTAGGCCAATGCGCCGTTGTAAAAAGACTTTGGCTTATATAATGCATATCTAAGTTTGATCGAATAACTACCCTTTTTTCTTTTTTCTTGACACGTTCTTCTCTCTGTATTTAATGCAGTATTAATAGATAATAAAAAAGAGCGACAGGCAGTTTTATAGTGAAAATTTAGCCATAACGATAATCAAGCTTTTTAAGACAAAAATAAATGTAATAGCAACTTGTCAACCATTTCCAAATAGAAAAACGGTACGTGTAGATATCAACGACGCAATCGAAAAAACCACAATCGAATTCTCAGAAGTATGCATTATATACATGTAGCACAAAAGTCATTGAGCGAGTATCTGATTGCAGCTTAATAATGTTTGCAAAAATGTCATATTCCTGTAACGAATTGTGAATGAATATTTGCATGAGAAAATGGTAGGAACATTGTCGTGTAAAATGTTCATTTTTAATAGCAGAAATGCGATAGCAACAATATCAAATATAAAATGTTGCCCTTTAAAGTTTAGGTTAATTGTTATTGTCCATGTAGATACGTAATATTTGTCACATAACGATACGATAATGCACATCAACACCTGACGTGTAAATGAGAATTGCAACACCCAAAAACAAACCGATTCATGTGTTGAATTATGATACCCATTATGTAGCAGCATACTTATCGTTATTATTTATTATTATTGTTAGTGTCACAAACATTTTGCATTTTTATTAATTATTAATTATCCATTTTTGGAAACTTTGGAATTCTAAACTAATTTGCTGAGTCAGCCTTGGGTCCTTTGTTGCAATAAAGAATTTGTCTTTAACATCAATATCATGACGTTTTGCGCATTTTTATTATTAAGATGAAGAAATGATACATGTAATAGTAGCGATATCATCTATGGGACAAAATCAGAAAATTCTGATTGCATATTTGCTGCAAATACGTGCATTATATAATTTATTGCACATTCGAATAGGCCAAGAGCTTGGGAATTCATGCGCTGATTGCCAAAGCACATGTATTCCAGGTTAAAAGTAGGATTCTAAAAAACGGGTTCATCAACATCATCATTACTAATATTGTTATGATGTATTATTATTATTATTAACGTTATTATCATTGTTACAGTGTATTATCATTACCATTGCCGTTTTGAGCTATATAGATAACTATATTATTATTATTGTCACATTGCGCTTTAGAAAAAGTAATTTTTTTGTTCAAAATTAACCAAGATATTTACAATGCATATAATCCAAATTCGATATTAAATTTCTTTAAATTCAAGAACCAACAACAACTTTACGATCACAACCATGTGGCGGTATGCTGATTTCTTAGCATTTTAGATGTTTTTTGAAAAACCAATGACATCAGATGCTTAGCATTTTAGATTTTTTTTTAAAAAAACCAATGACATCAGGGGTTTATTACACGACTTCTTGAGTACGCGCATGACAACTCAAAAATGTTAGTGACCAGGCGGCGGTAAAATGATAGTCCATTTAGAATTAAGTTTTCGTTTTGTTGCCTAAATTTTTTATGTTTTCTTCGTGAAAGAAAATAAAGGATTCGATTTTTGGACGAAATTAATCGAAAACCTCTCGCTATAATTGCAAAACGATAAACAAATAGTAAATTTATATATGGTGTGTGCGGTGGGCTATAGGTATTGATAATCTGATCTAACGAGAAAACGGCATAAATAGAAACGTCAATAGGAAAAAAATCTGTGCATGACCCAATATTTTTGTACAATTACGATTAAGGTTAAGTTAAATCTACGAAAATAGACATACAATGTTAATGAATGAAGGAACATTCCTTTTTAAGAAAATGTCGTACGTAGAAAAATTGACTGAATTCTTATAACGGTAAAAACAGGATATACATGTTACATTAAAGATATTGTTTGTTATACCGATACGTACTCCCCACCGAGAAGAATAGAAACCAGAAATTATATTTTTTTAGCCGGTTAAGCTTTTTTGGCAACGACTTCTGAAAAAAGAATCCTCATTCAGGATAATGTTGATATAAATAATGATCATTATCCAGCCATTATTGACTGATGAATGGCAACATCAGCTGTTTACATGCTTTCGCTCCCTTCCCCAACAGAAATCTCGATCAAGAACCTTTCCTCTTTACATCTTTCTGAATGCAAGCAAAGGTTATTCACTCTTTGTATGCAACCATTCCGCGAAAAAAAGAAACTTCAATAATGATATGTTAGGTGATATCAATACTGTATTCCCATTATCCATTGCTATGCACTCATGCACCTTATAAATATACATGCATCAGATATGCGCCCTCTATTAATAGCGCGCACACAAGTAGGATGAAGAGGAAAAAGAATCTTGATGAATTAATTATAGCAAAAACTTTTTGTTTTACTACTACGTAATGACCGAGAATATGAAGGATAAACGGAAACTTGCCGCTCACTGCATCCTTGTTTTGTTAATATGCAATGGACGAACAAGCATTCATGCATATTCCATCACAGAGCGTACTATTGTATTATATTAATAATAGTGTACAGTTATTAATAATTCATTAGCATAAAGTAATGAGGAATTAAACAGTTGCATTCACTCTCTCCTCTTTTTCCTTCTGGTTTCTATATATCGTAATCCTTTTTAGAATTCTATCTACCTTATTTTTTTTTATTTTTTTTTATTTTATTTTTTTTTTAGCAAACCAAAAACCAAAATTCAAAACAATGTCAACCGCCACTATTAACAATATCAATATGTCAACTTCAACTATTAACAATAATCACAATATGTCAACTTCAACTATTAACAATATTCACAATAGCAAAAATCGTTTATCGAGCAAAACCGAAAAAAGGACAATTTCAAAAATAGCGTCTAAAACTAAAAATGTTTATCGTCTATTGAAAAAAGCTTTCAAAAGAGATTCATCAGGAAAGAAAAAGCAAAAGAAGAAAGACAAAAATAATGTTAGAGATGTCGAAGATTGTGCCGCCGCCACCACCACCACCACCACCCTTACTATTACTAATGACGATGCTGTAAATACTAATAATAGTATCAAGTTTGCTGCTAGCAATGATGACATTGCTAATGCCACCGAAAAAAATATTGACGCTTCCAACGGAATAGTTGCTGATAATTGTGACACTAATGCTATTGACATTGATACTGATACTATTACTGATACGGTTCCTGCTGATGCCAATGCTGCCACTATAACAACAACGACAACAACAACAACAACAACAACGTCAGCAGCAGTAGCAACAACTAATACTAATACTAATACTAATACTAATACTAGTACTACTAATACAAATAGTAATACTGCTAACACAAATAGTAATACTATTAATAAAAATAGTAATAATAATAATAATAATAGTAATAATACGAATACTATTGTTAATAAAGAAACAAGACCGAGGAAAAACTCTAATGACATGACAGCAATACAAGCACTTATTCAAAAACGAGCATCGAATCTCAAACTTCTAGACGGTCAACCAGAAGAAGAAGAAGAAGAAGAAGAAGTAGTAGATGAATCAGAGACAACAATCTCAACAATAGATTTAAACACATACCTCCTACAACATGCAAACAAAATACTCAACGAGATAGAATTAGAAATCTCACAGCAACTCATGAAAAAATGTAATAAATCACTTACAAGACTCGACCAAATAACCTCGGATATCAACGAAAAAATTAACGGCAAGGATGACTATGACGTGAACCTATCCGAGTATGATGTGGCGTGGATTGCAATGATACCGGATCAAAAATATAAACAATCGCAATTACCGAGAGATTTTAAGTTGGCGTTTCCGGAATGTTTCTTGTGGTTATTGAGATTTCAGGATGCAAGAGGAAGTTGGACAAAAATTAGCACAAAGAGCATCGCGCCGTCACTTTCGGCATTGTTGGCGCTTGGATTATTTAGAGCTCGTGCTGGACCATATTTTAAAGAAAAGTTATCGGATTTGGGTGTATGCGTAGTAAGTTGTTGATCACTATCGCTATTTTCCCCTTTTCTTTGTTAGCCTTATTTATTTACTCTATACATCGATATAATAGGAAGATTTTAATCGTGTGTTTTCCAAGGGTGAAACATTTTTACGAAAAAAGTAAGGATTTTTTTATTAAATCAGTTTAGGCGCATTTTAATCTTTATAATCTAAACTTCTGTTAATCATATGCTCTAGTCTTAATAAGTGGAATATTGATGAACACAAAACCGCCGCCACACCAATTGAAATGATCGTATCTTTTCATCTCAAAGAACTCGAGAAAATCAACCCACCAATCACATTTGACTTTCCAGCAAAAGATCGACTCTGCGATTACCAAAAACGAATGAGCAAAATACCAGCCGACGAAATTTTCTCGTTAGCTTCCCGTCGTTCATCCGGTGAAATGATTCATCCACTAGAGATATTGGTCAGCGTCATGAACATCTCTCATGTTCAGAATCTTTCTAGTTACGGATCATCACCAGCGGCTACCGCCGCAATTTTAATCTCAGCTCCGGAATGGAATAACGAAGCCTACAAGTTTCTTCGAAAATTAATTTCTAGTTGGCGAAAATCGGATGGGTATTCAAGCCAGAAAGCTAAATCCCCGACAAATCCTGATTTTGAGACTTGCTGGGTCGTTGAATGCGTAGGTGAATTGATCTTGAATGCTAGTCCCACCACATCTATCATTACAGAAGATCCATATTTGGAAGAAGTAGAGGATAAATTTGTCCGTCTATTAAATTATATTAGAGAGAAAATTGAAGAGCAAAAAGGACTCTATCAATTCAAGAGTTTCGATAATAAAACGACCGCCGACATTAATCACACTGCTCTCGCATTACATCTTTTGGCTCAATATGACTCGGACCATCGAATAGACGTGGAAAATTTCATCAGATTTTTCTGGACCGGTGAATATTTCAACATTTTACCACGTGAACGAACCCATTCATCCATTAACAATATTCACGCGCTAAATGTGTTATTGACCGAGCGCGACAATGCCAAGAGGAGAAATGAATATCCGATCACGGTGGAAACTGAAACCATCAACGGAAAAGTGACCACGGTGAAGATCGAGCATATCATTCAAATCACGATTGAATTCATCAAATCGAAACGAACCGAGAATTTCCTGTGGACAGATGAATGGCATTCAACGCCTTGGTACACTACATTGAAAGCGATCAAAGTTCTTTTATCGTTGCAGCAACATCCGAAAATACTTACTCTCTCATTCAAGTCTAAGCCTTCGTTGCTGGCATATTGTAGATCAACCGTTGATTACGCGCTCAAAACACAGCATTCCGATGGTAGTTGGGGAGAAATGGCTGCTAGTTACTCGATTGGGAATCTCGAGGAGACGAGTTACGTGCTACGTCTGTTACAAATGTGCTCTGTTTATTGGCCAAAAGATGAACTCTTGGCGTCCGCGATAATGAAAGGCCGAGAATTTTTGCTAAAGCATTTTGAGAAAGCAACCACTGATCAAACGTTTTTCAATAATCATCAACCACCTTTATGGGGCATCTACACGGCACCTAAATTCATTCAAGCATCAATGCTATGTGTGTTATGGAATTCGGTTTAGTTTACGCGTGTGGACGTGACGTCCAGAACGTACGCGCATTTTCAGGTGTTAGAATTGTAAATACATGCATTGTTTAATGGATCCTGGTTTTGCCAATGTACTTTTAGATACCGTATTCTTCCAGAAATAGGCACCACTTAAAGGACATGTTTGGGTCTCTTAAAAATGAAATGATACTTATTCACGATTAGTTTTTTTTTTAATTAATAAATGATATCAATAGAATTGTGGGTGGTGCTTATTCCGGAAGAATACGGTATGCATTTATTATTTATTTCTTGATATCATTCTTTTTAAATACAACTTTTATCTTTGCATAGAATACACACATATTTAGAACGATTTCGTTTTGTTTTGATTTTTGTATAAATACCTATTTTATTTTATATTAATTAATACATTTAATAAATTAATAAAATTATGGTGTCTTGGTTTGAAATTATGGTCATTCAAACTTATAGTCAACGATTTTAACGGCGGCGGTTTTCTTGTCTAGCTACGAATGTTTTTTCAAATTGTCATTCAATGATTTAACAGCTAATGAATTTGTGTCTAACTCCGAATGGATGAATGGTTTTTTTAAAATTGGTCAATTAAAGTTCAAGCAATTAAGGTTTGCGTATCGATATTAATTACGTAATTCATTATTCAAAACAATAATAACCTTTCAACTCTTAAACCTAATAACATAATCATGATGTAACTCATCTAAAAATAAAAATCATTTTTAAATATAAATAGATATGGATAAAAAAAGAATCTTCTGAAAATAGATTATCGAATAAAATTTTTTTATTGTATTCTCGTTAAAGGTTAAAATCTCTTGAAACTTTTTAGACTTCGGGTTTCATTATCATTTTGGATTTTTGTTGGTGTTTCATGAATACATGTTCATATTGTTATCTTTATTATTGTTTATCGATATAGCGGACACTAATCTATAACGGGTTGGTCCAGATTAGTCTAGCCGCTGATATAACCGATTCATTAATAAACCCCGTTGGTATAGCAGATTCCATAAAACGCTGAGACTGACATCATGGAACAAATGAAATTTCAATCTCGTCAGATTATCGTATATTGCACAAATGATTTGGGATAGCTACATGCATTTTTCGTTTTAATTCACCCGATTTCTATAATCGCAGCTCCTCGTGAAAGAAGTTTAGTTTTATTATTCGCCTTTGCATATTATTAACGTTAGCATCCTTTCCTTTAAGCAAAAGATGCGTACGGTAAATATATTAAAAATTATAACAGCATTTTTTCGTATGGTAAGATTTTTTTTGATCATTTATTTTTTATTCTTCTGAAAAGTAACAATGGCAAAATATAAAAGAACATTCTTTCTGTATGCTTAAATTGAATTTAGGAAAGCTACAATTTCGATTAAAATATATAAAGAAAAATAAATACTCATTGAATCCAATATTTGATGTAGAGAAAAATTTTAAACATGAACATTTTAATTTCAATTAATTCAAAATTTTGGTTCCTTAACAACGAATTTTATGCATCAATTGAATCTCAAAAAAAATATGACGTTTGCGATTTGAATGCAAGGTTCTACTTAAAGAGAATAAAGCATGTTACCAGTTCAACTGATCATGATTTGATTTTCTGACAAAATAATACATGAACAATGTGCGTAACTATTCAAAAGTTCTTACTTTCTACAATTTTTGTTTCAAACTTTCAAAAATAGACTTTAGATTTGTATGCTTGTTATCATATATAACGTTCCATAAGTACCGTCACCGTAGAAGATTAAACTCCAATTTATTTTAGTTAGGATTTTTTTGCAAATTAATAATTCAAGATTCAAAGTCCAAAATTTTTTATATTAAATAATAAACTTTATAAGTTTCTCTTAAATATATACAAACATAAGCGGGTAATGTAGTCATGAAGTTTATCTAACGAGAGTATCAAAAAAAAAATGATAAAATCAAGTGATTGATTAATGCTTTTCAGAAATATCGATAGACAGTGATTTTATTATAAATATTGAAGAAAAGCATTTCATAATAATAAATTAAATTTGACACTTACTAAAAAAATGCCTCCGAAAGCTGACAAGAAACCTGTATCTTCAGCCATAAAGATAACAACAATTGAGACGAAAGAACAAAAACAAGTCGGCGAAAAAGGCAAAAGGAAAAAGGCTAGGAAAGAGACTTACTCCAGTTATCTCTATAAAGTACTCAAACAAGTTCACGCCGATACCGGGATTTCTTTCAGGGCAATGTCGATTATGAATTCTTTCGTGAACGATGTCTTTGAACGTATCGCGACGGAAGCTTCTAAACTCGCCGCTTACAACAAAAGATCCACTATCTCCTCCAGGGAAATCCAAACGGCTGTTCGTCTTATCCTCCCTGGTGAATTGGCGAAGCACGCTGTCTCTGAAGGTACCAAAGCGGTTACTAAATATACCAGCGCCAAATAAAGAAATCATAGCAAGTTGTTTTATGCGCATTTTTTAGGTTTAAAAATGAATGTAACATAAAAGCTTACTTGTACACATAACAAATTAATATGAATACTTTGAAATAAATTTACTTTATTTTCTTTTTTGTGTTAAATGCATGCAAGACGACACAAATACCATCCATGTTGTATGCCATGTTTTTAGGATATTGCATAAGGTCACTCTTAACTATTAATATTTAATATTACAAGTTGAAGAAATGTAGAACGTATTTATAATTCTGGGAATTATTTTAATAAGCACTTACACTCGAGCTTTCTTTTAATAACCAAAGATCTGGCTATCATCCCACTAAATCGTTGTTCGGTATTACATTTCGATCGATTTCAAACAAAAAATTATACATTATATGTGCATAGTCATAGAAGTGCCGCGTTGACCTAGAATATTTGGACCGGTATATAATGCTTCTATTAGGTAAATCCGGTAGTTAGAAATTACAAGATATAAATAATATCTGATTATTATACGAGTAAATTTTTCTTTAAAGTGTGATTTTTGCTAATTTTAGAACTTGTAGTTTGTACTGGAATAGAAGATACAAGTCATTAATAGTTAGAGTGAACATATTGATTTAATTGTATTAGATAATATTTTATTATAATAAAAGAAAATTCTATCTCTCTTGGCCTGATCACATTTTCATGAGAAATATTTAATCATTTTTAATTTTATGACATCATTTCCCTTTTCAAAAGTCAATATCTTGTCTCTTGGATGACCACCGTTTTTCGGGCACGTTTATTTTTGAAAAAATTAGTTTGTGCTCTAACCAAAAATGCTCCTTGCGAAATTTTATATCTTTTCATAATATAATCTTAACTCCAACTCTTAAACCTAATAATCTAATCCTAACCATGATCGAAAAAGCGACCTGCAAAATATTTTTGATAAACCTTAAATTAACTAGCGTTAAAATTAAGCTCAAATCATGTGATTCTATAATGAACTCTCCGAAAATTCAAATTATTTTGAAAATTTTTTTATTGCGATTCATTTTTAAAAAGTTTGTAGGTCCCTGAGCGATGGTCGTCTGGTATGTGAACAGTGATTCATGGAATAAATGGTACATGGGAAAAAAATCGGTGAGATACAAATATTCGCCATTGAAGAGTTGGATGGAGTCAAAAGTATCATTAATACCCACCGGGACTTTGTCAGAAGAAGGATACTTTATAATGGTAAAGAGGGTACTTAAATAGTGGTTTAATACGATATTGTAATTGATGAACTGTCATCTGTCTGTAATGAATTTGTGATAAAGATTTCATATTAGATAGCTAAAATGTCGTGTGACCTACAATACAAAATAATGAGATTGAAAATTATTGGGATCCTATTATAGAAACAGACCAACTGCTCGGAAAACTTGAAAACTTTATTGGATGAAAGCATAGCTAATATGCTGAATACTTTTCATTTTCAGTACAACAGCTCTTTAGAATATCCTAAAACAGGTGATGAAATCGAAGTATGTCTTAAACTAGAGAGAGAAGACGAAGTCACAAAAATATTCTTATAACTAAAAACAAAAAAACATTAGACTATCTAAATGCAATTTAAAAAGTCGAATTTACTTCTAATTAATATCAATACATTTATTTTAAGTTAAAATAAATTTCAGATTTATTAATTTCAATTAGGTTTACAAGTGTCAGTTTGTATATTCCGAATAAATGAAGGGAAATTTAATAGTTATTATTATAATTACATGATTAGGACATCATTTCATGCAAATATCAGATAGTTATAATTGTGCAACATAAATATCATATAAAAGATAGATAAATTTATTGTGTATTATATAATGCTACAGCATTTTGATTAACAAACTAAAACATAAAGATGTCATACAACTTTAGAAGAGCATATATAAATTCTTTTTGCTAACAAAGTCAAAAAAATATCAGTTTCTCAACTGTATTTCATATTAATAAAAAATGATATGAATAATATCTCTTAAAATAATAATAAAATCTGATTAATTATCTATTATAAATGAATTAATAAAAAATTATCAATTTTATTGTCTTTTATAAATACTTATCTGTATTAGAAGTTCAAAAATACGTTAAATATTAAGATTATCATCTATTATTATTATATATTACAAAATAATAATTTAATATTAGGAATAAAAAGAAAAAAAATCCTATTTTAAGTAAAAAAAAATTAAAAAAAATTGTTGAAATTTACATAAAATCATGAAAATTAAATTATTAAAGATTTATTTTAAAAATCATATATAATAATAATTTAATTATTTTAATAATTATAATTTTTACTAGTAATATAATATATATATTGTAATTATTATTATTTATTGTATAAAATATTCAGAATATATTATATTTTATCTAGAAAAAAGCTAATTTATATCTGAAAATTAGAATATAAAAGAAAAATATATTAAATAAAGAATCTTTTATATAAAAAATATAATATATAATATATATTAAAAATTAAAAATTGAATTTTTATAAACTTTTTTATTTGAAAATAAATATATACTTAATTCTTAAATAATCAATTCAAAATTATATATTAATATTTTTTATATATAATATATGATAAAAAAACTTAATTATTTACTAATTATATTAGATAATAAATAAATATCTTCAATTTTAATTTAATTTATATTATTTTTTATTGAATTGAAGTTAAATAATGAGTTTATTTACTATACTTGTTAAATAAATTCTTGCAAAATTTATTATCAAAATATTACTAGCTATTTGCAAATAAAAATATATAGCTTATTATATTATTAGAATGAAGATATTTATTCTATATCTAAACTATTTAAACTAATCTTAACTTTATAAAAAATTTATAGACTATTATTAAGAATAATATTAAGAAATAAAATCTAAAAATTTGAATATTTTAGAGAAGTTTTTAATAGAAAAATATAATAATTTTGATTAGATTATCTCTCTTTAGCTCAGATTTTTATTTTATATTATTTATATAACAAGTTAACTTCTATATTACTTTTTTTACAAAGATTAATTTTATTCTGGATATATAGATTATCATTCATATATTTAATATATTAGATTTAACTAATATATTATTATATAAATAATCATTATATATACTTATATTATTAATTTAGATAATTAATATTTTTAATTAGATTTCTTTTTAATTATTCTTTTATAATTTTACTCATTCTTATTTATTATTATCTATTATATTATTAATTATTAAATTATAATTAGTTATTTTCTGAAAATACAAATTAAATTAATTAATTTTGTTAAATTATATATAATATAAATTAGAAATTCATTATTAATTTATTTATTTTTTATATTTATTTCTTTTATTATAAATATATTCTTTTTATTTTATATTTTTATTTCAGATCTGAATACTTTTAAATAATAAAAATAATTATAAATTATAAAATTAAAATTATTTATATTATATTTTATCTTATTTGTAATTATTAATAAATAATCTTATAATTTAGTAGTAATAGATATGATTATTATAAATATTACTCTCTAATATCTTATACTTTATATAATATATATTATATATACTTTATATATATATATATTCTAGTTTTAGTAAATAATATCTTGTCAAAATAAATTCAAAATAATTTGAATAATTTATATAAAACATAACTGAATTAATCAAGATAATAAAAGAAAATGATCTCTTTGATTTCAAGTATTTATTTTATCTCTTAGTAAAATTATCTATCTATTCTGAAGAATTAAATAAAAATATACTTATATAAATAAGACAAGTTAAAACTATATTTCTGATTCAAGAAATTATAGATGAAAAGACTTAAGTATAATATATAATAATTTTCTTAACTGATATAATAATATATTAATATCTCAATAAATATAAGATTAATAATAATATTATACCTTTTAAAAGTTAGAAAATCTTTATTATAGTACTTAGAAAATTCTCTTAATTACTATATTATTAATAATATCTTTACAAATAATTTTATCTTTTTTATTAAATAGAATTTATACAAAATTATAATATAAAATTTAAAAATATAATTGGTCAAGTTACAAATGTGAGTGATCTAGATCAAGTTACTAATTTTATAAAAGATTTAAAATCTTTTACCAAAATAAAAGTTAGTTATCAAATATTAGAAATTCTAGAAGAAGTTTGAAAGTTAATTATTTGCTATAATATAATAATATATAAATAAGATAAATCTCTAAATCTATTAAGCAGATATAATAATAATTATTATTACTAGTGATAGAAGTCATAACTAGCTATAGTTCTGTTATAATTCTCTGATTAACTATCATAACTTTGTTACAATTCTCTAATTAGCTATCACAAGCTATAACTAGTTAAGAAGTCATCTTTAATTATTGCTTTCAGAAGTAATATATAAGTTAACAGAATAATAATTCTATATTAATAAAGTTAGATTAAGTAAAAAGTCAATATAATAATAGAAAGAATAATAATAATTAAAAGATATATATTATAATTATGATAAGCCAGATCATTTTACAAAGAATTATTATTCAAAATTCAAGATCAAAACAGTAAATATTAAAAATAAGTAAGAATTCTTATAATTATATAAAAAAATAAAATTTATTTATTTAAAAGATAATTATAAGAAATTATTAAAGTTTAATAATCAAGTAAATAGTAAATTAGTATGAATATTACTAGATAATAATGTATCAAAAAATTTTATTAATAAGAAATTTGTGCAGAAAAATAAAGTAAAGTTATAAAAAATAATATTAATAACCATAGAACTTATTAATAATAAGAAAATTACTATCATTATTATTATAAAGATTAATAAGTTAAAGTTAAATATATATAGAATGCATAAGATAGATATATAAGTATTAAAATTATAAAGATATGATTTAATTTTAGATAAATCTTGATTATTCTATACTAATTTAATCATAAATTAGAGAATTAATATCATAATT